CTGAACAGCCGGCACCTCGGAGAAGCTGTTGCCTTCCTGCACTTCAGCGTGTGCCGCCGGGAGGGCAGAGGCACCTGAGCATGGCTTGCAGGAGCTTGTGTTGTCTGTGCTGCATGGCTCACATCGGACACAATCAGCTCATGCCCAGGGACGCGTGTGGGCGACTCGCACGCCGTCGGCACGTTGCTGTAGCTGGTTGACTCATAAGTGCTTTGGAGCAGCTCTGTGCTACAAAGCAGATCAGAAACCCACCGACTGTGCCAGCCTGGCACAGACCCGCTTCCAGCAGAGCTGTCTGCTTCCTCTCTGATGAAATGGCCATATGAATCCACGTGGTGGATTTTTCCAGAGGGTTTGGACCTTGTTCTCATCTTTTTAGGCACTGAGGCCATTGCTTCTTTTTTTTCCGCAGAGTGCTCCCCTGGGTGGTACGGCCCTAACTGTGAAAGGCCATGCAAATGCAAGAACGGGGGCCTGTGTGACATTACCACGGGGATGTGCCACTGCCCGGCTGGCTACATCGGTGCCGACTGCAGCATCGGTGAGTGCCGGGTCAGCCCCGGGGACAGGAGCTCGCGGGAGTTTCCTCAGCAGGAGGGGAATGGTGGTAGGTGCAAATCCTGCCCACGGCCGGGTTGCTGACCCTGCGGGAGGAGAGAAGCCTTACAGTGGCCCATCAACAGAAAAAGAGCTCCTTGTCTCGCTTTACAACCTGTGCTGTCAGCAATGCCCCCTCCGCTTCAGTAGTAGTAGCGCATAGTGCCAGCCTTACTGGGGGAACGCAGTTGCAGCTGATCTCGTTTGCTGTCTGTCTTAACCATGGAAAAAATGTCTCGCTCCATTTGTTTTACACCACAATGATTTCTCCGCTAGGAAAGGCCTGACACATCAGCCTTTGCATCATGCCATCACTGTCTCTCTGCTAAAAATGCTTTGCTCCTCCAGCAGAAGGAAACTCAAAGCTCTTTCCCGGGTCTGCCAGTCCCACTGTGCACTTATGACAGGGCTGCAAACTCCTCCTGCCCCCCCTTGTGCCCATTGCTTTGCTCACGTGCCGTTGCAAAGTCTGTCCTTTCTAGCCTACAGACATAGCCAGCTGTGCTTTGGCCTCACCAAGGCAGCTCAAGGTCTTCCTCCCGCCAGGCTGTCCTGCTGGTCGCTATGGCACAGACTGTGCACAGGTGTGCCCCTGCGGGGATGGTGCTACCTGTCACCCCGTCACCGGAGACTGCGTTTGCCCACCTGGAAGAGCTGGTCCCACCTGTGAGCAAGGTAAACATCAGCTGCAGGGTGGTGCATCAGGACAAGCAGGCGTTTCAGGCAGCGGGTCAGAAAAGGTCCTGAGCAGGAGCCGATTGTCTTGCCCCGAGACCTCTGCCTGTGCTTGGGCGCTCCTGCCCAAATCGCGCTGTGGTCCTCGTGCCCGCTGCCACCACTTCCTCTCGTCCCGCAGGCTGTGAGAAGCACCGGTACGGGGCGGGCTGCCAGCAGACCTGCTCCTGCCGCAACGGGGGGCTGTGTGATGCAGCCGACGGCTCCTGTTCATGTGCGCTCGGGTGGATGGGGAAATCCTGTGAATTAGGTAAACCCGACTTGGATGCATCGTCCTGCACTGGCTCAGTAACTGTGGAGCTCACTCTGTTTCATACTGGGTGCAGTTTCTGTTATCCCCGCCTGTGCCTGTTCTGCCTTATCACATCACGGCCCTCTGAAGTGCAGGAGCGGGGCCAGGGCCGGCTCTCTGGCCGCTGAGCAGCTCTGCCGCTGCATCTTCCCTGCAGAATGTCCGCCGGGAAGGTACGGTGCCAACTGCCAGCTCCACTGCGCCTGCCTGCACAATGCCACCTGCGACCCGGGGACGGGAACCTGCCGCTGCTCCACGGGCCACTATGGGCCCCTGTGTGAACACAGTGAGTTGTGGCAGTTTGGCACCTGTGGGCACCTTTGGCTTTGTGAGGGGGGGGGTTTCTAAAGCTCAGCCAGAGAGCAGGCCCATAGGACAACAGTGTGACCCGCTGCAGTCGCACACGTGGCTGTGTGCACTGATGGGCTCTTCCTTTCTTACTGGTGTTCACAGTGAACCCTTCCAGGTAGCAGAAGCAGTCGCAGAGAAGGCAATTTCTGTTCTCTGCGTGAGACCACTGGGCACAGAGGTGCCGTTCCAAGGCAGCTGGGCACGCACGTCACCACTGCACAGCTTAGTGTTGGGCAGCCGAGCAAACGCTTCAGAGCTGAAACGCTGTGCTCTGCACCCAAGACTCGCTGCGGGAAGCTGGTAGCCCTGCCCCGGGCCACCGAGACCAACTGCATGCATTTGGGCACTTCTCAGAGAGAAAGGCTCGCTGCTTCTCTCTGGTGGGCTGATGGAGGCTTTGCTGCAGAGCCTGTCTGCAGCTGAGCCTGACTTGAGCCCATCCGTGGGCTTTAATGAGCTCTCCACCCGGCTCCATCCCAGATTGTCCCCCGGGCTTCCATGGAGCTGGCTGCCGGGAGCGCTGCGACTGTGAGCACGGAGCAGGCTGTGACCCAGCCACTGGTCGCTGCCAGTGTCCTGCCGGGCTCCGCGGCGAGCGCTGTCAGACAGGTACCCCGTCCTCCTCCTGCTTCCCTAGAAACAGGCGGGAGAGCGCGTGTGCCGTATCTCACCTCTCAAAACAGGCTGCGAGGAAGGAACGTACGGTGAGGGATGCCAGCAGCTCTGCGACTGCGTCGGCAATGCGCCCTGCGACCCAGCCACGGGGCGCTGCCTGTGTCCCCCAGGGAAAACCGGCCTCAAGTGCGGTTCAGGTGAGTTGAGCCACGGCTTGGGAAGGTGAGAAAGGGGACCATGCAAGAGGGGCATTGACTCAGAAGCTCAGTCCTAAAGTGGATGCAAAACCCCTCTTGTTGGAGCTGAATTCTCACGGAAGGGGGCTTTCTTTTCTGTGTGTTCCCTCGAAGAGTAAGAGGGCATCTGAACGGTGGTGGTCACCTCTCCAGCCTCTATTTGTGGTCAGATCGGAATGCAAATGCTCCCCCAGCCTCCAGTGCCCTTGTATTTAGATTGCCAGAGTCAGAAGGCTGAGGATCAAATGCAGAAGGAACAGCTTGTTGGCCTTGGGGTGCTCTGATGTCCGCTGATGTCCTCACCAGAGCTCAGGAGCAGTCTGGGAGCGGGGGGAAGGAAAAAGCTCTCTGCCTTAGCTTGCACTCAGCCTCCACTGCAAGCTCTGCCTGTTGCACAGCGGGAAACATCTGAGCGGTTCTGCTCAGCTGCAGAAGCAGGCTGACTGCGGCCGTCTCTGCACCTCTCTACCCCTCACAGACTGCCGGCCGACCAGGTACGGCCCGGACTGCAGCCTGGCCTGCCAGTGCGCACCCAGCAACTCCTACTGCAATGCTCAGAACGGCCAGTGCCTCTGTCTGAATGGGTACATGGGACCGACGTGCCGGGAAGGTAACGTATAGGCGCAGTGCCACAGTGAGTACCGCTGGATACACACATTAGGGGAAGCCTAATGCAAACGCAACTGCTGCGGGGGGATGCTGTGGTACCAGTGCTGGGGTCGTGGCTCATGCCCTGGCGGGTTGGTTTTGGTAGCAGTGCTATCAACTAAACCCAGTAATGTGGTGTAGCACCTGCCTCTTCCCAAGGCACTGTCACCCCAGCCATGAGGGAGGTTTTATGAAAACTGCGTGCTGACAGTGCTGTGAAAATAAAGCTGTTCAGCAGTCTAACCCCAAATGTGCCCGTGGTAAAGCCACAACACAAAGCCCACGCTTTTCTGGGCACACTGGAACAAAATGATCCTGTGCACCGACCATGGTGGGAAGAACACATACCTTATTTCTGCCCAAGCCATGATTGAACTTGTTGGCTCAGCGCGACTCCCCCGTGGGTGCTGCGCAGCGGCACTGCAGGGGCGGGTGGCAGGACGCTCTGGCTTGCTTTGCAGGTGGTACGCTTCGTCCGCCATCGGCCGAGCACCCCTCCTTGGTCCCAGGTCAGTAACAGACCTCGACAAGTGGCCTGTTGCACACCACGGCTGCAGGCACCAACCTAAAAATGCTGCGCCAATGTGAAACCACAGAGCCAGGCTGCGGGCGCAGACGGGGGCCAGGCTCCCAGCTCATGCCTTCCCGGCGGGGAGCGGGACGGGGGCTGCTGCCCCCAGGCAGAGCAGCAGCACGAGTGGGTCGGCCCTGCGGCTGCTCCCCTCC